CACCCCTTCTCCTGGAGGAGCTGGTGCTTGGCATTTGCACAGTTGTGCCAAAAGGGTCACTAGGTGATAGGAGCAGATAGCCTCAACCCTCGGTCTGGGACCCACTGTGCCGTGCCGAAATTACCGACAGTGCCAGCAACCTCCGTGCGGCAGCGATGCCGTCCGGCACGCAGCAGTCAGGAGGCTCCAGCTCCTGCTCACATCAACTCTGCAGGGCTGAGAAAGCATTACAAACCCGTCTGTGCCCCCGCAAGCCAGCCCATCTGGCTCCTGACATATTTGGGGAGCTGCTTGCTGGAGCAGGATGGGGAGGTGGTGTTTTTCCCATCGCCATTCTTCATAGCGAGGTTGTATTTCAGTCTATCCCCTTGCTGGCACACAAGCTCCTCTCTACCATATATAATATTTAGTACTCAGTCCGGTCTAGTTTGAGATGTCGAAAACAATGGAGCATCTCCTCCTTCCTCCCCGGAGATCCTCGCACAGCCGTGTAGATCTCGGCATCGGGAACTTTTTCCATATTTATACTTGACCTAAATTCTCTCTCTCTCTCAAATAGCCAGAGTTTCAGCCCTCTGGCATCTATACTTCTTCCTTAGAGTTTTCACACTTCAGATACTTACGGGTTGGAATAATACCCTACCTCTACATGTGTCTTAACCAGGCCATAAATCTCACTAGTTGACAAGGTTACCGTTATCTGGCTTCTGCCACGACCCACTGTTAAAACACATGACATAAATTACACAGAACGGATCATACAGGCCATTTTTCCTCATACAAAACCTGATAAATATTAATGGTCCGGTGCAGTAGCTTTGCACCGTGGTAGTAGTGGAGTCAATGAGGTTGATCCGAGGCGTGATAATTGCTGGTGGACGTGGACCCCGGGCAGGTGCCAAATTAGCACGCTCTCCATGCGTGGTGCTCCTCTGGAGCTCTGACTTGTGTCTCGGGTGGCTTTTTTTGGCTTCTGCTTCCTTGAAGTCAGTGCTGTGGAGAGGAGACATGGCTTGTATCAGACAGAAACCAACCCAAGACTCTTCCCTTATTTAAAGCATGCCCAGACCTTCCCTGCAGCCCCCGTGATACTGATGCAAAGCGAGCATCCTCGCCACCAGCAGCTGGGCAGAGCGCTGCCACCCATCCCTGCTCCACAGGTGGCACTGTGGATGTCACCTCTGTCCCCACACCCTCGTCGCTGCTCCTCATCCTCACCCTGGGACCCGTCAGCCCACCCCTCCCCTCATCCCCCCGTCTGGATGCGCAGTGCCTGCCTCCTCTAAGTGGCACTTTTACGCTGGAAATGTGAATCCGGTTGGCAGCATCGGCTCCGTCATGCTTATCAGAAATACATTATCAGAGGGGGATTAGACAGAGCCTCGCGCTCGTGTTGCTGTCCACACCGGGCAAGTAATGAATAATGAAAATTCCCGGGGCCGGAGACAAACGCACTTGACAGGCAGGGAAGCGCCCGCGCCTGCCTTTCACTCACTTTAATGTGACAAACATGGCTCCTTCGGAAAGCTTTCCACTCCATTCACCGTGGCGTAGCTTGTTCTTGTTGTTTTCTTTTTTCTTTTCATTTTTCCTTCCCCTTCGTCCTTCCACCTCCCCGCTGCCCCAGCCCCTTGCCCCCCCTGTGGCTGAGGACGGCGTGAGGATGGATGGAGGAGGTCACCACCACCTCCAGCCTCGTGGGGACAGCTGTGTGGTCAGCTCACGTCGGGACCATGCATGGTCTGGGTCCTTGCCTGCTGTGAACACTGATGTTGTGGAGGTTTTCCAACCTTAATGATTCTCTCCTGTTGTTTGTTAATTGTCCCAAACGAATGTGCCATGGACAAAGGGGTTGCTTTGCACCCAGGTATGGGATTTTTTACAGTGCTCGGGTCTGGCCTGCCTCTAGTCTCATGTAAATCAGCCGTGGCAATGCCATCTGTAAAGGTTGTCTACACGAGGCGAGGCCCCAGCTCTGGGTATTTTTCCTGCACTTGTCATCTAGAAGCATGCAATAAATTTTATGGACCGGGGTTTATCGAGCACAGAGGAAGAGGAATTGAAGTGCCTTGCCTGGATGTGAGGCTGATGTTCTGGAGAAAACAAGCGCGTTCAGACGAGCCCTTCGATCGCTCACAGCCTACTTTCTGGGGGGGAAGTCAAATGGCCGTGTCCCCAACCCGCATCTCCCACGGGGAACAGAGAGCCCCGCTGCCAGCCGTCCCCCGCCGTCACCTTGTCTCTCACGGGCGACATCTGTCTCTTCCCCAGCCCGTCTCTGTTAAACACATCCAGCCTGCTGTTGGGAGGATGTCTCGGCTTGGCACCGGTGGTGACAATCACTCCTGACGCAGGCTTCCTGGCCGCCTTGCACAAACCCTGTGACTCTCCAGCTTTTTTCCCCCAACCCACCCGGCGGGGAGGGAAAGAGCTGTGAGCCCGCGGCACATCTGCTGCGCAGTGTGAGGCTTTGCCAGTGCGATTCCTGCTAATTAATGTCAAACTTATTTTAGCAAATAATGCACATTATCTCGTCCTGCGGAAGGGGTGGGTGCCAGCGCTGACGGTGGCTGCTCCGGAGGAGAGGTGTCTCCAAGCTCTGTGCTTTGGGCACCCGGCAAGGCGGGGATGCTCAGAGGGGTGGGGGCATCCTGGGGGTTTGTGTCTGGGGCAAATGGGCTCCCAGGGTGGCACTTTCACACCTTACCAGGTCACTGACAAGGAAAAACAGATGCTGGAGGTTTAACCACCCCCGCTGTATGCGCACAGTGTGCTCCTTCAGTGTTTTTCTGGAGGAAGGGTTCAATTTGCTTTTCTCTACAAGCATCTCACCCTAATGTACGGGCATCGGAGGGAGAGGCAGAACAAGCCCCCGTCTCCTGCCTCTCCTGGTGCCCTGAGAGTTAGCAGCTATTACTTTTGGGGGGGAAGCTTTGGCAGCAGGGCTAGCTGACCACTCCTCGGTTCCCTGACTGTCAGGGAGCAGAGAGGAGCCGGTGATTTATTGTGAAGGACAAAAAAAAATCAGTCTCAGGCAATGCTGACAGCATCGCTTCTGCAAGCTGAGACAGCTCACCTGTTTTAGCAGAGCTATTATTTCAAACAATGCCACCATTAGCCGGCTATTATCATTCCCATTTTTCATAAGAACAGATTGAGGCATGGGGAGAAAACAAGCAAGTTAGATACCTTGAGCCAAAAAAATAGCCAGAAGTCCTGGCACCGAGTCCTGTGCTTTTGTACTGTTTTGACTGCGATTCCTCTTTGAGGTGACAGCTGCAGGGACCTCCTTTCTCTTTGCCCTTTATCAGGCTGATAATGGGCAGCCAGTTACTGCAATCAACATCCCCGCTCACTTGGGGCTTTGTGCCTTCCGCCCAGCCTAAATGCGGTTTTGTCCAGAGAGTTTGAGTTTAATTATATTCCCCTCCTTTAAGTCTCACGCAGCATTATGCCGTTAATTGCGGAATCCTTTTACCTTTTAGGACAGTTACTGTCGAAGTTAATGAAAGTTATTTACTGCCATTAATGGCAATTTCCATTATTGTGCCATTTTGTATTATTTTATTTTTTTTTGGAGAAACCACCCCAAAGGTGGTGCTCAAGGCTGGAGGAAGCCCAGGGTGCTGGGATAGCCCGGAGGACACGCTGTCCTTAGTGGGAGGCACAGAAAGATGCGAGAGCTGGAGAATTTGGGACTAGAGCTAGGAGCAAATTTTCCTTCCAAACGTTTCTTCCCCAACAGAAAAAGGCCGCCTTTGTCAAGAGAGACACTGACGTGTGAAACATCTGTTGTGTGCTAAAAAAAGGGAAAAGGCTTATAGAAGCAAAAACTCTAGAATGTGATTTCCCCATCCCCCCCTCCCTGCTTTTTAAGGCAGCAAAATGGGAGCGTATGGGACAAAAATAATAAACGTATGAATAAAGTAGAATGATTTTCTAGCTGGGCAGCTGATTTTTTTTTATTTTTTTTCTGAATATGAGGTTTGGTCTGGGGAGATGTTAAGGGAGGTAAAGAGCAATGAGGGCGCAGCTGCCTCCCCCAGCCACAGGGGCTCAGTCTGGGGACCTGGGGTCTGTGCCCAGGTTGGGGACACGACTGCTGTTTTCCCCTTTGCCAGAAAAGCTGAGCAGACACGCAGGTAGGATGCTGGCACGACCACCTGCACAGGCTGCCCTGGTCAAGGGCACGCAGGACACACACAGAACAGATGCAGGCAGCTGAGTCCCTTTCCTCCACCTCTCCAGTCCCCTTCCCACACTGCTTCCCAAGTTCACGAGCACACACACACATCCGTAGATGCTCAGAGTGCTGGCACAGCCCCTCTGTCCTCCCAGCACCCCTGCCCAGACCCATTTTTCACCTCGTGGGTCTCCTCCTCTCCGACTCACCCATCTTGAGGTTCGCTGCACACTCAGCACTCACACTCACACTCACCAGCTGCTCCAGCTTAAAGCTTGCCAGCGAGTACACCAACACCCAGCAGAAGACCCCCCTGGCTCCAGCCTCTGATGCCAGCACCCCAGTGGCCCCAGTAGCGGGTGCTCACTCACTCCAGTTGCTGCCACCACAGCCCGGGGGTGTCTGCGCCCCCAGCCTGCCTCCAGGGGCTGGCACTGAGGGTCACCGACCACATCCAGGTTTCTCCAGGGGCTGGCACTCAGTCCTTGCAGCTTGTGGACACATGGGACAGAGAGTGCATGTACATGGAGAAATAATTATGTTTTAACGAGATAAAGATGTAAGAAAGTGGAACACTGCAGTGATTAGGCACAGGGCTCAGCCAGACGAAGCACCAACCAGCCCATTTTGGACCTTTTCCTCCCTGCCTCCTGCTCCATTCCTCCTGCACCTCCCCAAGGCTTTGCAGAGCCCCTCAGCTTCTGCACCCTCCCAGGCTGGGCAGGTTTCAGTTGTGCTTCTGGGAAGCAGCACCTGTAGCTCATTAGCCCTCTAATTAATGTGATTGGGAGGTCTATTTCTTGGGGTCATCTCCCACCTTGGAAGTTCTCTATCGGCTAACCCTGCTGGAATAAACATTCCTTCATTCTCCTCTAAATTACTGAGATGGGCCAGGCGTGGTTCCTGCCACCATCTCCCCTTCTTCTTGTCCCTTGGAGCAGGTCCTGGGGCAGGTGCCTGTGAGGGATCAGACGCTTCCCTCGCAGGGACAGGATCGGGCTGTTCTATACCAATGCACCAGGCAAAGCCCTGCTAACTGGAAGGGGTGAACTGCAGCACCAAAAGCCAGCTGAGCGTAGGAATACCCAGAACGCTGCCCTGCCCCAAAGAGCACCACAGCCCTGGGAGCTCCCAGCAGACGTCTGGGCTGGAAAATGGACACCAGGACCGAGGTGAGCACTCCTGAGGGAAGTGATGCTGAGGTTCTCAGTGCATCCCCTTATCAGCTCCCCGTGCGGATCAGGAGCACCCCATCAATATTTGCTCGCTGTCCTGGGGTGGGGGGACCCAGGAAGGTCCCATCACATCTCAGAGCTGTTGGTGTATCGGGAAGGTGGGCGGCACAGTGGAGCTGGTGAGAGCTAAGGGCTGAGCACGGGAGGTGCAGCACTCAGCAGCGGAGCTCTCTGCCTCGCCTGGAGCGAGCGGTGATATTTCTCCACGGTCCTAAAGGGGGGGAAGAGTGAAGCCAAGAGCAGGAGCTGTGCTCCCCTGTAAGCGATAGCACGCCAGGTGGAAATTAAATGTCTCTCTCTGTCTTCTCCCTGCCTGCTGCTCGAGCTGTGCCTTGGGATCGTCTTGGTGTTGCTGTGGCCCCATCGCTCTGCTGAGCCCCAGTGCTGCTGTGGGGTGGTGCTGTGTGGGGTCCCCAGGCTGTGGGGTGGTTGGGGAGGCAGGGATGGGAGCAGCAGTGAGGGCAAGATGTTGTGCTTGTCTGATCTGGGGCTTGGAGAGCGTTTTGTACCTGCTTGCTAACACCCCCGTTTGTCACTGTCCCTTCTCCTCCAGAAGCGGCCTGACGTTCCAGTCAGAGGCCGAATCTGTCTTGAGAGGGAGGGAGAGAGAAACAGCTCGGGGCCTGCAGGAGACAGGCCTGATGCGATAGGCCTCCCTGAATGCAAGCGTGACAGTGACAGCCGCTAGAGAGAGATGGCCTTTGCCAACAGGTGGCCGAGCCTCCATCACTTCTCCTGGGCACCGTGCGCCGCGTGCCAGCTCCTGCTCTGGCCACTCCTCGGATGAGGACCGGGGGGATCGGTGAGCTGAGGGCAGCAGGACCAGCTGCTCCCGTGGGTGATACAGCACGGAGGAGCGGGCAGAGCTCTTGCTCTGTCAGCCAGGCCTCAGGAAGGCAGGAGCAATATCTCTTCTGCCCCCGGTGCCAGCTCTCCTCCCCGACACCCGGCTCCGTGGCATGGCAGGGGGCATCCGCTCCCCCTCGGGGGCTGGAAGCTCGCCCCTGGCATCCCGGCGTGCTTGCCCTTGGAGCTGCAGCTTCTCCTGCTCATTAACTCATAAATAATAGGGACCAGCAGCATTCAGCGCTAATTAATTTTGTGAACTGAACCAGGGTGAATGGGGTAATTGCCCATGGCGTGTGCGGGCCGACAGGTGAGCCCTCCTGCTTTCACCCTCCTTGTTTACCAGCTTCTCCGTGTTTATTTTAAGAAGCATTTGGTCCCTCTCCGTGTGAAGAAGGAGAGCCATGTGATCCAGCCCAGAGAGAGCGCAGCAGGCGCTGAATATTAAATTAAAACACATCCTCGCTCATACACCAAAAAAAAAAAAAAGAAAAAAAAAACAAGCTGGAAAGGTTAAGAGCTAACAGAGATCCTCAGAACAGTCTCTGTCTGTTTGGAATGAATTAATCAGACCATTAAACAAATCTTTTAATCTAAAGTATCCCTTTCATTTCAGTACTCCGTAAAACAAAGTGACTGGAGTGTTGATGGAAGCGTTTGCCATCGCTTTGCCTTGTGCTGCAGAGGCTGGCGGGCTCTGTGAGTTTGTCTTCCTCTCCTTGTTGGACAAGAAAGGAGCTCCTCGTGCAAAGGAACTTCTCCAATCAGCCCACGAACTGATTTACGGGTCACCCCTTGGGGTGTTTGGATAAAGAGGTGTGGGACAGGAGGTGTGGAGAATTGTCCTGGTCCCCAAGGTGCCGACTCGGTAGCTCAGGCAAAAGTTGGTGGCGTGGCAGAAGGGTGATGGGTGGCCTCGGAAACCTTCACGGCGTGTTAGTGGCATCATGGGCATCAGCTTTTCTTTGACACGGGGAATGGAAAAAGCTCAGGAAGAGGCGACTTCTCAGTGGGGATGAAGCTTTGCAGGGGTGAACTCTTACCCCTGAACTCTCCCCTTCTGGCCTTACCTTAGGGGATTTTTAAAGCCCTTTCTGAAGCCTTTCCCAGCCGCGTGTCCCAAAACACAGCCTTGTGGGTGGGTCAGAGCTGTGTTAGGGGAGGGAGGTCTTGGTGCTGTGGCATTTCAGCATCCAGCACCCGCCTCCTGCTGCCATCAGTCAGCGAGGAGGCAGAGCCCAGCCTCTGGGCACGTGCTGCTATCACTGGCATCTGTGGGGGAGGCAGAGAAAAAGCGAGGGCAAATCCAGGTAAAAGCAGGCAATCCTGTTTCAAAATCAAATGTATCCTCTTTTTTTTTTTTTTTCTTGCTCCTTCCCCCTTTCTAATACACTCTTCAAAGCTCGCAAAGATTAAGTGCACGATTTATCTTTGCAGAGTTTGAATTTTAAAAGGAACAGCCGAGTGTGTGATCGTATTATTAATATTTATACCTCGTCACCGAATGTTGACAGATTAATTATGCAATATGGTATAAGAATCAGCAGGCAGCGTGGGAGGGTGGTGCCAAAGTTCATGTATTAATAACACAGCGGGGTGGCTCGCGTGCTCCCTGTGTGGCTCGGTGTGTGCAGCGCTGCATCCCACCTGCATCGAAGGCACCTCCGTCCTGGGCTCAGCTCCGCTCTAGGGCTTGCAGGGACGCTGGCACTGCCACTGGAAGGGGACAGAAGCAGCAAAAGTTGTGAGGTCCCAGCCCCTTTGCACCGCCCCGGGAGCTTTTTTGGGCATGGGGAGCTCCGTGGCCGTTCCTGACCTGCTTTGGGCACGCAGAGCAGCAGGAGGTGACTTTGTGCTGCGGAGAATCTGGGTCAGGAGTTTGCTTGCTCCAAAGCTGTGGCTTTTGCCCCCAAACCCTCCAAATCTGCCCTTCCCTGAGCGAGTGGTGTCTTAGCAAGTGCCCTTTTCTCCAAAGCTGCTTCTCTCCGACGTGGCCACGGCAGAGGATGCTGTGTCCTCTTTTGGAGTCTTGACCGGCACTAAGTGCTTAGGAAGGAGGTTTAAATCTTCTTTAGTGGACACTTACGAAATGGCCTGCTGTACGGGAAGAGGCTTTTCCTTCCCCAGGAAGCCAGCTGCTGTCATCAGGCCTGGCGTGTGATAGATTTATAGCCCCTGCGGTCCAGCCAAGATACGAAACTGTATCTGCAAACCCTAGGGGAGGGAGGAAAGTCTGACAGCACCCTCCTCTTGTCTACTGCTCGGGAAAAGTTGAGGGATGTTTTGGGGTTATGCTGTGGGTAAATAAAAGCTGCTCGGGGTGCCTCTGCACCCCCCTTTGCAGCAGGATCTGGCCCTGGGAGCGCACGCCTTGGAGATGCTGTGGTGCCAGGGGGAGAGGGGTACAACTTGCACCCCGGTCATCCTCGGGGGGAAGAGAAACTGCTCCTGAAGCCCTTGCTGGTTGCTATTTCCATCACAGCTTCTCCCCGATGAAACGCTGCTCTTTTTTCTTTCTTTTCCCCCAAGGAATCTTTATTTCTCTGCGTGTCTCAAGGGAACGCTTTGTACGAAACAATTTGCTTGATCCATCTCGAATAATTTCAAGCCGTGCCTGGGGTCGGGACGCAGGGATGTACTTAGGCTGGTTGGAAATTTCTTTGGGGCAAAGCCCTGGCTCCTGGAGAGGCAGAGAAGGGGCTGGAGATGTCGACAGCAAGCACGGCTCTCGAGCTCTCCTCTGTCCCCCTCCTGCTCTACCCGGGAACAAACTCCTGGGTACAAAACTGCGCCTGTGTGCTCGGCTTTATCGGGGTGGCCTTTGTGGAGATCTGCAGAGTTATTTCAGGAAAGCTATCCCGGCTCCAATGAGGTGTTTAACCCCTCGAAGAACAAAGAAAATCGTTTAAGGTGGGCTTTTGAAAGCCTTTCCGAGGATTTGGATTCTCAATTTCCATTCAAATGAACTTTGCCTCATCCCATGAATGCGAGCGAGAGCGCAGCTTCCAAATGCCTCTTTTTACAGCTTCGGCCTTTCTTTTTTAATTAAAAAACGGAAAGAACAAAAGCACAACTGAGCAAAGCACTTGAGCACATGCTTAAAGTAATAGATTTTCCTTGGCTAAGCGCACGCTTGGAGGTGCTTCACGGCTCTGCTCCATGAAATTGGGATCCTAAGGCTAGTGGTGCAAATCCCTCTTGTTTTTCTCCCCCAGAAGCAGTTGAGTTTGGGGTACCCCTCTGCCATTTCTCCATGAACATCTCCCCAACCTCCCCAGTGTTGCAGGGTCACCTCCAGGCTCTTCTGTGGTGCCCTCCATGTGTGCACCAAGCAGGGCATGCACACCTCGTGCCACATCAGCTGCAGACAGCGCCCACGTCGTGCAGGCAAACCCCCAATTTATGTTCCCTTTCCCATTTTGAGGCTGGGGATATGGATGGAAACCAACTTCATTTTTTAGCCTTGTGCTTTCTGGGGGAGGAGAGGCTTGCTGAGTTGCAACAGGGCGTGGGACCTGTCTTATCCAGAGCAGGAATCAGGAGCTTTGTGGTGTGTGCACGCGTGCATCGATGCATGTGTCGCGGTATACATAGGTCAAAGGAGGAGATGTTGAAAGGAGAGGGACGTTTCGTAGGCTCCTTGGGATGGAGGCTGGTGGAGGGACAAGTGTTTGAGATATCGGGGGCAGCCTGCGCTTGTCTTCCTGCAGCTCTCTGCTTTGGTGCTAACTAAGGAGAAATCAGGAAAATCTCAGCGGCGCTGAACGTGCCCGCACTGAAGTCGGGAGACTTTGTGCATCACGTCGCTGTCTGCCAGGATTTTTTTTTTTGAGGAAGTCAGCATGAAAATGAAAACTTCTGCCTGTGTCTGAGCGCTGATGGGCGCCGTGCTCTGGTTTGAACGCCATTTTAGCTCTTTTAAGAAAAATAAGTTCTGTGCAGTGTCGGTGCTGGGAGCTAAAAGGGCCACGCTGATGTGAAATGTTTTGATCCACCCAGAGCAGGTTCTTGTCTCTGAAACTTGCTGTGTGAACAATTTCCATTTTTATGGGTTTCTTTCCTAATTGGGATGAAAACAAACACAGAAAGCCTCGGAATCGGTTGGAAAATGAGTTTTCCACTAACAGCAAAGTTTATCTCCCTCTGCGAGGCCCGGCAAGATCTGTCAGCAGTATCTGTCAGATGTGCAGAGTCCTTAAATAAACGGTAATATGGAAATGCAAAGGGTTGCTATTAGCAAATGGAAATTGGGAGCAAGAGGTGAGGGGAAAGGAAATGAAGGTCCAAAATGCCAGCGGCCAGACTCGTTCCCTGCAGCTCCCCGATCCGAGCTGGATGCCTCTCGCAGTCCCCTCCTGCCTTTCCCAACGAGAAGCGCCGGATAATTAATTTCTTCCGGCCGCGACCCACCTGCCTCGCTGCTGCCCACCTCCCCCGAGTGACTGCAGGCGCTTTCCTGGCCCCGCTCTCCGGCTTTTCCCCCCCCCAGGCGAGGACGTGGTGGCTTGGCAGGGAGCAGATGGGAAGCCCATCTTGTAGGCATCAAGAGCAGGAGGCTCGGTGCTGGGCTCTTCGGAGGTCGACGGCTCCCAAGACCCCGACGTGTTCCAGGGAGCGCCTGGGAGTGGGCTGTTGGTCCGTGGGAAGGTGGCTTCTGCTGGCGAAGGTCCTTTACCAAGTAGCCCTCAAGGTTAAAGTTAGATGCTCCTTCCAGATGGTCTCCATCTGATGCATCTCATTACGGGGCTGAGCTGCCTCGCAAGCCCGGCCTCCCAGTGCCAAGAATAACAAGGAGTGGAAGCCAGCAACAGCGCTCGCTGCTGTTAGAAGGGCATAAGATGATTTAAGGGTCAAGACAAGACCATATGGCCCATCACGGTCCCATTGTAACAACCCGGAGGAGTACAAAACAACTTGCGGTAGCAGGCATCCTTCCTATCAAGGCTGCTTGCCGTAACCTTTGCAAGTTCAGGTCCCCAGCTCCTTCTTGCTCTGAGTTATGCCCTGAGCGGCTGGATGATGCTCGTGGGTTACATGTCCCCCTGTGGGGCGCAGTGCCCGGAGGGGACGAGGCATCCCGGGGTGCTTTCTCTTTATTCACAGAGCATTCTTGTTTCCTAGCAAGGTCTGCTTGGCGTGTTGGTTCCTCCCTGGGCTCTAAATAGCCCTGTGAGCACTGTCAGCAGCACACCTGGGTGCCTGGCCCTTGTTTATGCGACTGCTCAAAGACCTGTGTTTTATCCCAGTGCAGGGGTGATGGAAACGCTGATTTTTGGCTCTCTGAAACCAGCTGAGCACAGCCAGTGCCACGGCCCCTCTCGCTCTGTGTTGTGCCATGTGGTTTTGCCTCTCCCAGGGCTGTTTGCCCTGCTGATGTGGGGAGGTGGTGGCACGGGGGTGGCCTCGGTGCCTCCTCGCCCCAGCTCTGGTCCTGGTCCTGCCTCGGTGGCAGCTCCCCACCAGGCCAGCCGGCGTCCTCTGCTCGGCACTCGTCCCGCAGTCCATTTGCCCAAGGGAACACTTACAGCACTGACCTTAAAGAGCAATTTCGGGCAAGCATAGAGCAGCTCAATTGTTCATAAACCTGACATTTATGTC